TCTTGTGCGAATATAACTATAAGCAAACAGGAGAATATGATGGAGAACCTTCAGGATAGATTAACAACAATGCGGGACGGTTTCCTCGAACGGTAAGATTTTTAATTTTATTGAGAGCCATTAAGAACTTACATTTTCTTTCTTATATATTTTAATTGATGAATATAAAGATGTGCGCGCGCGTATGTGTAAATATATCTAATATGTCAATTATTGTTTAATATATAGGCATGGCAGTGAACCTGCTGTGAGTTTAACGTATTCTGACAAAAGCTCAACTAGTGCCACAATATCACTTGGTGTTGGCGACGAAATGACTCGCGACAGTTACCACCCAGGTAACTAATTGAAATCCTTGCTTATATCAAATACATATATTAATTGGTATAATTGTCTTCATACAGCAATTTGTGTGTTTGTCAGGACCATCTGGAAGTAGTGATGGGACTTTCGACGCAGGTCCGAGCAATAATCGCAACCATCATCGTTACAATGAAAGTAAGTCTAATTATTGTTTAGTCGCTTTTTTCATCTCTAGCGAATTCTAATCGCTTTAAATTTTGTAAACTATACATATATATATATATATATATATATATATATATTTACATATTTATATTTATTCATTTATATATGGGATTTTTGTAGAAGCTAAAGAAGCTGTCTACGTCGATAGCGATGATGAAGATATACAATCAGGTGAAAGGTCTGTTGAAACATTACAAACGTTATCATTACAACGTAACATTACAAACGTATCAAGGTTTTACTCAAGTTACACATTTGTGCTTCCTTGAGTACCCTTGTACATGATATCTTTTTTCTATTGTTTTTTTTTTAGATTTGAAATTTCTTAATTTGTAGCAACAACTTTGATATTTATAGGTTACTAAACCCAGTCGAGGAAATGGACGAAGCAATTGTTAATGCTCGTTCGTCACAAGGACACGAGACGTTCGATGATACCTATCTGACGGAACTCTGCGTGAAACGAAAATATATGGGACATAGGAATGCCAGGTTTGATGTATTTTTTTTTTTTTTTACTTTCTACTCGTAATATTTTATCAAATTCAATCGTTAATGAGAACGACACACTCGCGCACTCTCTCAAGCATATGTTCTTAAATTCGTGTGAGTGATGTGTATAGAAATTATTTAAAAGAAAGGACCATTAGAGCTTTTAATTAGAGTTAGATTAACACGACATTGAGTAATTGCGAGTAAGAAGCTGACGAGGAAGCAAGGAATGTCTTTGTAATGTCTTTGTCAATTATATAGTTTGTAGTCACCAAATCTACTTGGCAAGTTTGATCGTTGCCAAATCTTGAATGACTTTAACCGAGTCCTCGTCTAATCAAAGTGTACCGTTTGAAAGATCGGAAGCCAAATCATTGACCCGAGTAGTTCCGAAAAAGCCTCCGAGCGGACTGGGCGGACTGTGCAATATTAAAGCCGCCGAATTATCTCTGACTATTTGCCTTTCCCCCACTTTTGACTCTAGTTTCTTTAGGACTATGATCAAGGAAGCGAATTTCTGGGGCAACAATTTCGTCATGTCGGGTAGCGATTGCGGCCACGTGTTCGTATGGGAAAGAGACACTGCAAGATTGTGTATGCTATTAGAAGCGGATCAGCATGTGGTCAACTGTTTGCAACCGCATCCATATCTTCCAATGCTGGCCACTTCTGGCATTGACTACGACGTGAAACTATGGGCGCCAATCAACGATGAACCAAACTTTGACGAAAAGTTTGCGGAAGATGTATGTTGTTCTTTATGTTGAATTAAATAGGAGTAAAGAAACCATTGCTTGACATGTCGTTTTATTGTACGTGAAAAGATAGAATAGATTCGAAATTTTATGTTCGTTTTATTTTCTTACAGCTGAAAAAGAGAAATGCAGTTATGTTGGAAGAGACCAAAGACACAATTACTGTACCTGCGGTTTTTATGATCAGAATGCTGGCATGTCTCAATCAGATACGCAGAGGTAGTGAAAATTTATAATAGTATTCTCTTCGGGATATCTTCGCGATATTTCGCAATATTAATATGTACAGGAATACATAGTAGAAAAAATAAATTCAAAATTTTTCGGATTCCATTATTGTGCGTAGGTATTAGAATACACAGATTAGAATACACAATGGATTGGCATTGGATGATATATATATATATATATATATAGCTTTGTCTGAGTATTATAGCATTGCGTCGTTGTCGAAATTTCGTAGTTTTCAGTATAAAATATCAGTGAATTGATAAAAACCGTCTTTTTTTTTTTCCTTTTCTTTCAATAGGCAAACAAGTATTTGACTGATATTTTGAGCATTTCTGTTATTCCTAAGTGCCTTGTGTATAAAATCATAAGTTATTCTGATAATGTCTAACACGCATTTTATTATTATTAACGTTAATGCGTTTCGCATTTGCTCGAAACTGTGCAAACGAGTTAGTAACGAGTTTATTTTTCTTTTGTTCTTTTTTTTTGCCCAAAATTTCATTTTTATATTTAGAATTTCTTTGTTTTATTTATATTTGCAATTTTCTCTAGAAATGTTATGCTATTTATTAATTGTTATTTTGAACAATTCAAACTACGCATACATTCAGATTCAATAGCTTTAAAACATGGTTCTGGTATATGGCCATTATATTAAAATAAAACATACATTTGATTTGCTGCTATCATTAAAATAGGACCTAAGACATTAAAATGCTGTAATTCTATTATCGATCTAGTGTGTCTTTATTATTACTCATTATGAATAACAAGTATGAATAGTTTGTTGAAAATGCTACGTTGTGTGCATCTCAAAACTACGAGAAATAAAATTTTGTTTAACTAATTGGCGAAAAGTTTTTGACAATGATAAATATTCTGATCCTGAATTCTCTCTCTCTCTCTCTCTCTCTTGCGCGCGCGCGCGCTCACATCATATTTAAACAAAGTAATCTCTAATTAGAAAATGTAATTTTAGCGAATTTTATTTCTAAATTCTGGATACATATACTGTTCAAAAAATTATTTCAAGAGTAATTTTAGAAGAAATCACAATTTTGTGTCTTTTTATTAATTTATTATTTGTAACGCATAGAATATTATATATAGAATATGCATATATAGAATATGCACATATAGATTGGTAATATATGTATGATTATACATATCTGTATTTCTTGAAATTTATACTTTTAAGAAATTTATAATTTTTTAATATGATTTTTTTCAGATAGATAGTTAAAGTTGGGGACAGAAAAATGAATAATTTTTTAGAATTAATTAATTTATTATCTTTTTTGTTTTAAAACTATTAATATATTATAATATTCAAAGCTATGATTTTACGCATCTATTCTTGTTTGTTGAAATTTGAAACGGATAGTTTAAGTGTTACCAAATGTATGAACGAAATTTATAAAAATGACCGCGCGTGTTTATTGTTTATTTATGTCCGTATGATAAAATTACAACACACGAATGTCATGTTGATAATTTTGTAGGTCGAGGTCGCAACAGGAGACGGAGCAGCGACGAGGGCGGCGAATTACGAGGTGGCTGAGTCATTTTCGACGATATTGCAAGTAGTAACGATAATAAAAGCGAAACTCGCGTATTGATTGCAAAAATGCGATTATGATAATCCTTTATTTACCGATCGAATCAATAAACATGGTAGGTTCTGATCGACATGAACAAATCTCGTGATATATACGTAAAGTTCAATTCAAATTTTTTCGGTGTATTTATAGACACACACATCTATAAAATATCTAATGACATTGCGAACGTCATTACGCGTATCCGTACATACCTTACGTTTATAATAATATACTAAAACTGGAAAGGACTTAATTGGTATTCGATTCCGTGAATACCGAAATTTATATTTTACATATATCTTTTTCTTTGCCATCTTGTATACAATCAATATTTATAGTGGATTTGTATTCTTTAATGTATTGAAAAAAATAATAATTTCGATCTCTGTATATACTTTAATGTTATGATATACATTTGTATATACATCTGTACAACATTTAATATCATCTATATGATTATTATGAAGTGCATGTTAGTATCTATCTGAATATTTATCCAAGTAATATATCATTATCGTTACGGCTTTGTATATTTTGCAAAGAGATTGTCGATGAAATAAGCAATGCAAAAATTAGCATATTGGTCAAAGGCTTGTAATAAAAGCGATATTTCATCTTTGTTTATTTCATCATGTTATTGGGATCCGAAAATTGGTGAACATTACCTGTTATTAATAATGTCAAATATTTTTATTTATTTATTTCTACAAACAAAAATATTGACTTCTGCAATCGGAGACTGTTGAAATTTTAAGCTTTTTCGTTTTTGCATGCATAAAATCTTTAATTATCTTTATTTTAATTATTAAAATCTTACCAATGTTTCCTCTATGTCAAGATTAAAATGGTATAAATAAAATCGTAAAGTTTTGTAAAGTTACATTTCATGCTCGAGAGAACGAGTGCATAATATTGGGTTATTTAATAATCAAGAGAGACGTTTTTTATTTTCTTCTATTATTGCACGGCAGGCACAAATATCTTGTAAATTGCACGGTCAGTTTTTTACATCCATTCTGTTATTGTGCGTTATTATTTATGATTTACATTTATCATTGAGATTCGAGAAATAATAATAATGACAAATGTGAAGCGTTAGTAATACAGTTTGATCCCGTAGAAAAGAATAATGCGATTCTAATGTTATTAGGAAAATTTTTATCGTAAGGCGAATTGTAACACGTGCCTTACAGGTTTTTGAGTTAAAGCAATAAAGTAAGTCGATAATTGTAGTAATCGTGTCTATTTGAGGTATAGATTTATGAAAAACGAGGGTTTAGAAATCAACTTTAGAAATCGGAGTCGATAATCGTGTTGCGGCCTTGCCGCTTGTGCAATTTTAGTCATTAGACGGTAGTCATATCGATAGAATGTGACTGACGATCGTTGAGATGATCAATATACATATAAGAATGAACGACAATTATGTATTGATAAGAGCTTGTTTATAATAAAAGTGTGAACGAATGCGCAATATAATAACAAAGCATCGTTATTCTTCTCGTTAATGTCGATCCTTTTCGCGCTAAATGTCACGTATGAATAATTGAATAAACACACATTCTCTCTCTCTCTCCCTCCCTCTCTTTCTCTCTCTCTCTCTATTTCTGCCCATTGTTAAAATTTGGATCTAAAATGACATTTATGTCATCGCACGTGTAAGAATGTACAGTGCAATCAAATTATTTTTGACAATACTTTATCAAGAATTGAGAATGTCTAGTATCTCGAATATATATAATAAAAGTATATTCTTGAATTTAAGTTGTCTGTCGAGAATGGATGTATAGCAATGCTGAGACACACTAAGATGCGATGATTCTTCTGTTGATTTCAACATTTCAAATTAGATATGCAAGTGAGATATGATCCAGAAAAGAAAAATAACACAACTAAACAACATCAAACTATACATTCAACAACGGAATCTAATTTAAGCATATAAAATATGAATGACGCGTTCGTAATAAATCAATCAATCAATCATATATATGACAATATATGTATATAGTAATCAGTAATAAAATAATATTAATGATCGTAATATTAATGCTAGAAATGATCATTATAAAAATTGTAAATGTATTCAAATAGTAGGCTTAGCGATTGTAATAAACACAAAGGAATTGCACGCTTAGAAACTGTTGTCCTGAATTATAAAGAAATGCCTAATCAAATGACTAATTGCATTTATCAAGCGTTGGATAGAGTCCTATCATCAATGGTCTTTAATCTTCTCTAGCCTAACTTCTCAACAAACACTGATTTTATTTAAGTTTTATTAAATGTATCAGATATTACAACTTTCATTGAATATAAATCTCTATTTATTATCGTTATGAATATGTACCGTACGTAAATTTTTTTAGAATGCACGATTTTGCACAATATTATCAATGCTTGCAGAGGCACAATCACTGATAAGCGAAAAAGAAAGACTAATAATCAATATCGATATACATATATCAAGAATCAAGAATGCAGTTGAAATCAAGAGTTATTATCTTATCCCGAACAATTCACAAGTCGATCTCGTTCGTGAATCTTGTCGCTAATTAATAAGACTAAGTATATTTAAAGATTTCAAGTATATATTTTGTGTAGACACACACACACACACACACAAAATGTATAAATTTTATATGCATATATGTATATATATATATGTATATATCTTTAGACATGTAGCCCTAATCTTACAATTAACGACAAGTTTTAAATAACGTTCAAAAATATTGTTCAATGATACGAATCGAAATTTGTCGCAATATTACTTACAGGCGAGAAAATGAAAATAAATCTTCAAGTTAGAAGATAGACGAAAGAGACAGAAGAAAAAAGAGCGAGAATTTTCAATCGGAGAGCGACGTGCGAGTGTGAAACGTGAATGGAATCGATTTTGGGGCACGGCTCTGTATATATTTCTTTCGTTTTTATTTCTCAATATTAGGACAAAATTGTAATCAATCGCTTATCCGTAGATCCAATAATGTCTGTAATAAAGTTTAGCGATTATATAAAATGTGATTATATTAAATGTATCAATGAGAAAGAAAGAGGGGGGG